GAAAGTTAGCGGAAGTGCACCCGGAAGGATACGAACACGCAGAGCGGGCACTTCCGCGTGAGGTCGCGTCTGAGAGTCTTGTGCTCGACCTCGGGCGCCTCGGCCAAAACAGGCAGCAATGATTCTCTGTCTTCTCTTTCTCATCCTCCGCCTCAACGTGATATCTGTACCTCTACCTACGTGTCCGAACTGGGAGCCCGAGTTCCGGCCGCGCTCGCAGAACTGGCCTGCTGTAGAGCTGGAATCTGCGCGAATCTTTCCCCCCCGAGAGCAAAACATGAGAGGATGACGAGTGGGTAACTTGAGGAGAAGGAGGAGGAGGAGGAGGAGGAGGAGGAGGAGGAGGAGGAGGAGGAGGAGGAGGAGGAGGGGAAGGAGGAGGAGGAGGAGGAAGAGGACACGAGGAAGGGGTGACACGGGGAGAAGGAGGATCGGAGGACAGGATAAGTATAGGGAGAGGAGGAGGAAGAAGAGGAGGAGAAGGAGGTTGAGGAGGAAGCGGAAGAGGAGAACGAGGGCGAGAGCAGCAGCAGCAGGCAATGGTGGGTTGCCGTTGCTCCTGCTGTTGTGGCTTCGTTCCTCCTCCCCTCCTCCTCGTCCTCCCCCTGCTGCTGCCTTCTCCTCTTCGTCCTCCCCCTCCACGCCTCTGCACTTAAACAATATGAATACTAATTTGCCTCACCGCCTGGAATTATCCAGAAGATCTCCCGCCCCATCCGCGCGGTTGTTCCCCTGGCTCTTGTTTCAATCCAGGCGTTTCGGTGTTTCAAAATGGTTTTACCGTTGCAGCGTGGGCCTCGTGTTCGGGTCGGCGCGCTGCTCCCGTCGTTCCGCATTGCGCTCTCGCCCCAGCGCGGGCCACGTTTCTGCTTCCGAGTCTTTCTTTACCGCTGTCGCCCTCATGTCCCCTTCTGCGCCTTCCTCTTGTCATCCTTTCCCTCCCGATCTTTCCGCTGTAGTTCCTGCTGTTGGTGTTTCTCCTCACCCTTTTCCTCCCGCTCATCCTCCTGTCCACCCGCCACCTCCTCCTCCTCCTCCTCCTCCTCCTCCTCCTCGCCCCCCTGTGCACGCAGCTCCTTGTTTTTCAGATTGCGCATAGCACGAAGTGGTCGTTCTATGTTAGTCGCAGGTCGGCTATGACACGCGTCCGCGGATAGCGAAAACATCTGCGCTATTGGAAGGGATGGGAGGGAGGGATATGACTTCACATGAGGCGTGAGCGCACCTAGCTTGCCTCTCTCCCCTCCCCCCCTATCCTCCCTCCTCTGTTCTTTCTCTTCATCCCCTCCTCCCTTTCCGTCCCTTCCCTCCTTCCTCTCTGTTCTTGTTGGCCGTTTCTCCCCCTCTCGCTCTAAGAGGACCTCGTTGGGGCCCTCCTCGGCCCTCTTTGGGCCCTCCCAGGCCGTATGATATAGTTGTTTGGGCCATGGCCCCATCGATATCAGACCAGAGAGTTCAAAACTAACACCTTCAGTGCCCTCGTGTGGTCCTTTTGGAGTCCTCAGAGACTCTCTCGCGCTCCTCCAAGATTGTTTGAGAGGGCCGAATGGCGTTCCAAGCAAGAGGGCCCCAAGACGCCACTGAAAGTGTGCATGATGAGTCTCCCTCAACATGAACGCTTTCGGTGCTCCCCAGGGGCCCCCTCGTGGGCCCAGATGCTCTCCCAAGCTCCTCCAAGAATGTCTGCGATGGCCCATTGACGTCCTTAGACGGCGCCTGGAGAGCCCCAAGATGGCACTGCAAAGGCTCCTTTCCGGGTCCGAGAGATGACACCCACCCCCAGGGTAGATTCTATCATTGTGCAAGTCGTATTTCGGTTCCCTGTGCCTTTGCAACGCGAAATGCGTTTATTCAATCGCTTCGCTCATTCCGCTGGCCCACATTGCCTCGTCGATTGGGGACCGTGTTGGGGCCTCTTGGGGGCCTCTGATAGGCAGTTTTGAGGTTTCTTGGGGGCCGTGTCGGGGCCTCTTGGTGCCTCTTTGGGACTCTTGGGGCTTCTTGGGGTGCCTCTTGGGGGCCCCTTGGGGCCTCTTGGGGGCCTCTTGGGGCCCCCCTTGGGCTGAAGGCTGGACTTTTCGGTTCCTGGTCCCCGTCTTGGGGCCGTTTGGGGGCCCTCTTGGGCCATCTTGGGCGCCTCTCGGGATGTCATAGGGTCATCTTGGGCCGTCTCGGGGCCCTCGTGGAGGCTTCTTGGCGTGGTCTTGGGGGCCTCTCGGGCCGTCTTGGAGCGCCTGTAAGCCGAAAAGGAGAGAAACGTCGCACATGCGAAACATATACGTTTTCCGAAGGGAATGGGGCAAGTTCCTTGAGGCCCTCGTGAATGCCTCTTGAGGCTCTCTTTGGGCTTTTTCACGAACCCTGGGGCCAGAGACGATCTTGAGCGTCTTGGAGCGATCTTTCGGCGACTCGGGGCCTCTTGGTCCGTGTTGGGGGCGTCCCAGCGCCCTCTCGGCGCGTTCCTGGAGCGCCCTGGGGGGGGTCGGCCGGGCATCGCCCA